GCCGCCCCAACCCCGCCTCTCCCCGTGGCTTGGGGGGGGGGTCATGCCTGTGGCTGTTTATAATCCGCAGTGCCTCATGGGATTTGTAGTTTCACCACAGCTGGAGTGCCGAGGTTGCCCACACCAGATAGAACTATTATTATTATTATTATTGTACAGGATTTATATAGCGCCAGCAGGGTGCGCCGCGCTTTAAGTGCACACGGGAAGAGAGATGCTCCGGTGTTGTGTAGATTGAAGACGCAACGCACAGCTCACCCCCTGTCATGCATCTTTGCAATCCACATTCGGGGGCACGGGTAACCGTCTTCCAGAGAACTTATCTTTAGAAGCTGCCAAACCGACACACGAGGCTTCTTCCAAAAAGTCTTTTTACAGAAGGCTGTGGAATAAAATTTGATACAACTGCTGACGTGTTTCTGCCTTGCCCGGCCTTAGTCATAGCTGTGACTAAGGCAGAGGAGGCAGAAACGCGTCAACAGTTTGTAATAAAACGTTTGTGGATACTGGCGATACTTTTTGGAAGAGCATCGTGTGTCGGTTTTGCAGTTCCGGTGTTGCGTGGTTCAGTGACGTGCAGTACCTCTTGCTCCCGGTGACGCATTGCCCAGCCCCGCCGGCCGAAGCTCCGCCTCCCGCCGGAACGAAGCCCTGTCCCCAAGCTAGTGGAAGGGAGGAGCCTCCCGGTCCCTCACTTGCTCCTCATCGCTGAGGCTCCGTGACAGGTGACACAGCGGGGAGGATTTCCATGCTGTGTAACCTGTTAGATGCCGATCTGAATGGAGAAAAAGCTGTCAGCTTCAGACAGCTTTTTCCTCCATAATTCTAGGTGAGGCTCCGCCTCCCCTGACCGCACGTCCCTGGTGTGGTTGGAGCAGCAAGCGTGTTACAACAAGCCGGGGAGTCCCGGGTCGGCGTGTTGTAGAGAGTTTTCAGTTACTTAGCAGGGGGGGTCTAGGGCCAGTGTCTTGGATCCAGGCTGCGGCAGAGCATTGGACATAAATATTTCAAATATTCATAATATAGACCCGGAAAGGAGGGGAGGAGTGATGTAGTACAGAGGGTGGCTTGGGGTATGGAGGAGGGGAGAGGGTGACACGGCAGACCAGGGTCAATGGCAGGTGAGGGCTCAGACTCGCGTACTCCTCCAGCGGTTCCATAGAAGTTAAAGGAGAACTATGGGGTCAGTGTTTTACCTTGGCACTCCAGCTGTTTTGGAACTACAAGTCCCATGAGGCATTGCAAGGCTCTGACAGCCACAGACATAACTCCCAGAGGCAGATGCATCTCGGGATTTTGTAGTTTCAGCACAGCTGGAGTGCCAATGTTCGCCACCACTGCCTTAGGGTAACGTTAGGGCACAAACTAGCGTCCTCCCGTCACCCTAGGCTCAGTATATAGGGAGCTACAGCTCGCGGTATACTGAGACGCCGCAGCCGGGGCGGATCCCGACTTAGACGACGGGATCCGCCCAGCTGCGTGAGTGACAGCTGGCTCTGCCTATCTAGAGGCAGAGCCAGCTGTAC